CCCTGGCAGAGGTCCCGTCCCTGGGCTCCTTACAGAAAGCACTAGGAGCTTGGGCCACTCCTTCTGTGAACTCAGCCTCTCCCTCATGCCGCCTGCAGGGGAGTCATCCTGGCACCCCGTGAGCTCAGGTATCCTTGACTGTTACCACAACGTGACCCACCTACCAATCGGTGTGACCGTGAGGTTTCGTGTGGCCTGTGCCAACCGCGCTGGACAAGGGCCTTTCAGCAACCCTTCTGAGAAGGTCTTCATCAGGGGCATGCAAGGTCAGTGGAGTAGGGGGGGACAGAGAAGGAAGGGGACCCTGAACCCATGGTCCACCTCCTCAGAGCACCATGGTTTCGCCTCCAGGGGTGCCATAATCATGATTTCCTTTCTCTCCACTTAGATTCCTCAGCTCTGTCACCGGCTGCTCACCAAGATGCCCCTGTTACCTCAGGGCTAACCAGGGCCCCACCTCCCGACTCTCCTACCTCACTAGCCCCATCCCCAACCCCCACTGCAGCCCCTGCTCCCCCAGGCCCCCAATCAGCCATTTTCAGCCCTTCATCTCCCCCAAGACCCCCCGGCCAGGCCTTGTCCTCACTCAAGGCTGTGGGTCCACCGCCCCAAACACCCCCACGAAAGCACAGGGGCCTGCAGGCTGCCCGGCAAGCAGAGCCCACCCCACCCAGTACCCATGTTCCCCTGAGTGAGCCCGAGTCTTCCGTCCCTGACGCTGGGACCCCGACCGCAGCCTCCACCCCTCAAGCGGTTAAACCAGTGTCTTCCTCTACTCCCTTGTATATGGTGACTTCCTTTGTGTCTGCACCACCAGCCCCTGAACCCCCAGCCCCTGAGCCCCCTCCTGAGCCCACCAAGGTAACTGTGCGGACCCTCAGCCCAACCAAGGAGGTGGTCAGTCCCCCCGGGGGTGGTCCCCCCACCTCTCCAGGGCCAGGGCCGGAGGGCACCACTCTTCGGCAGGGCCTCCCTCAGAAGCCCTACACCTTCCTGGAGGAGAAGGCCAGGCAAGCAGGGCCCGGGAAAGGAAGGAGGGCAGAGGGGGGAGCGGGAGGAGCATAAGGGACACAGGGATCAGGGAGAAGACCAGACTGCCCGGCCAGGGTTGGGGAGGTGCTGAGATCTGGGTCCTCAGTACTATTGAGTTCAAATTTTCTCTGGGCCAGGCACTGTGCTAAGCTCTGTAACCATATGATCTCATTTAATCCTCACAACTTGGAGAAGGAGCCACTGCATTATTATCATCATCACCCATTTCACAGATGGGAAAACTGAGGTTAGACAGGTTATGGGATTTGCCTAAGGTTCAGAGCCACTGAGTGGTAGAACTGAGACGAACCCAAATCGCTAAGATTGAACTCCAGAGCCCATACTTGGAACCACTGCTTTCTTGCCTCCCGGGCTCCCTGCTCCCCTTACCCCGTTAGCCTGCACAATGGAGGTGTCCCCCTGTCTCCTCTGAGCCTGTGGTGTTCCTCCAACACATAGGGGCCGCTTTGGTGTAGTGCGCTCATGCCGGGAGAATGCCACCGGGCGGACGTTCGTGGCCAAGATCGTGCCCTATGCTGCCGAGGGCAAGAGGCGGGTCCTGCAGGAGTACGAAGTGCTGCGCACCCTGCACCACGAGCGGCTCATGTCGCTGCACGAGGCCTACATCACCCCACGTTACCTTGTGCTTATCACTGAGAGCTGCGGCAACCGGGAGCTCCTCTGTGGGCTCAGCGACAGGTAGCTGGGCACTCGGGGGAGTAGGGAGCAAGCAAGATTGGAGGAGCTGGGCTGACATATCACCTGCCTCCCCTGGGCCCACCCCAGATTCCGATATTCAGAGGATGATGTGGCCACCTACGTGGTGCAGTTGCTACAAGGCCTGGACTACCTCCACGGCCGACACGTGCTACACCTGGACATCAAGCCAGACAACCTACTGCTGGCCCCTGACAACGCCCTCAAGATCGTGGACTTCGGCAGTGCCCAGCCCTACAACCCCCAGGCCCTGCGGCCCCTTGGCCACCGCACGGGCACGCTGGAGTTTATGGGTGAGGGCACCATGGCAGCTAGGGTAGGGGGTTGAGGTACTGTCAAAAGGGCAGCAGCCAGAGCTCACCCCACTTCACCCACATATGTGCCATTTATTGAGTGCTTACTGTATGCAAGCAATGAACAAAGTCCCTTGCATAGTTTTTTTTTTTTCCAATTTATAATAGTGCTGGAGATTTGCATAACATTACCCCCATTTTACAGATAAGAAAACAGTCATAGTGAGGTTATTTGTCCAATATCAGACAGTTTTTAATGGTCAAGCCAGAATTTGATAAAGCTGGAAAGATAGGAGAATCAATGATTGATTTATAAAAATAAGGAAAATCAGCTACCATTTAGCTACTTGCTAAATCCTTTATGTTCATTATCTCTATTCCTTAGAGTTATTCTGCAAGCCATACTTTACAAATGAAAACATAGAAAGACAGACAGATTTAGTACATTGCCCAGGGTCTTATAGTTAGAAGGGGCAGGCCTAGAATTAGGGCCAGCCAGGCCAGTATCAAAGGCTCTTAATCTTTGCGTTAGCCAGACCCTTTGTGAATGGCCTCCCTACCTCTGAGTTGATCCAAGGGAGCCAGTGACCCTGGTTCTCAGTAACTCTGTAGTTCTGGGAACCCCCACCATTGGTGCCTGATTCTTCAGATGACCCACATCTTTCCTGGGGGCCACCCCACTCCCATCCTGCCTGCTGTCATCCAGGGCCTGCTGCTCTGGTTGGACCTATAGTCTGTTGACCTGGGCATTGTCCTGCTCCTCAAGCCCCCAGGGGCCTCCCCTGCCTCTCTCTACTTCCCCGCCACCAGGAAACTGGTTCGACTTGGCCTCTGTCTCCTGTCAGCTCCTGAGATGGTGAAGGGAGAACCCATCGGCTCTGCCACAGATATCTGGGGAGTGGGTGTGCTCACTTATATCATGTGAGTGCCCCCAAGACCCACCTTCTGCCTACACCCTCTGCTCCCTCCCCACCTGCCCAGTACACACGTGAATGTGCATATGCATGCACACACGTGTATGTGCATAGGTACAGGCAGCCCTGTCCTTCAGTGCCGTGCCCCTCAGAACCCCCACACTGATGTCCCCTTGGACCTGCTGCTCTGGTTGGACCTATAGTCTGTTGACCTGGGCATTGTCCTGCTCCTCAAGCCCCCAGGGGCCTCCCCTGCCTCTCTCTACTTCCCCGCCACCAGGAAACTGGTTCGACTTGGCCTCTGTCTCCTGTCAGCTCCTGAGATGGTGAAGGGAGAACCCATCGGCTGAGTTGACCGTGAGTTGACCCTCAGTTCACGTGTGTCAACTCAACTTTATCCACCACAGGCTCAGTGGACACTCTCCGTTTTATGAGCCAGACCCCCAAGAAACAGAGGCTCGTATTGTGGGGGGCCGCTTTGATGCCTTCCAGCTATACCCCAACACCTCCCAAAGCGCCACCCTCTTCTTGCGAAAGGTCCTCTCAGTACACCCCTGGTAAGTAGGCCCCACGCCTGCCAACCCCTCAGCATCTCCTCCCTCTGGCCTTGGACTGCCCTGGCCCAGCCTATGGCCTAAGATCCCCAAACTCCTCCCCTGCTCCCAAGAATACACTGTTGCTACTACTACTAAATGGTTGTACTGCCCACCATTTAAAGCTTACAAGAGCCCTGTGACATAGGCAGAATCACTGTCCCCATTCCAGAGATTGGGAAACTGAGCCTCAGAGTTGCCCAAGGTCACTCGCTAGGGATGAATCCAGTACTGGGACTCTGATCATGGGGGGACAGAACCCTGCCCTGCTCCAGGCCATCCCTCTAGGCTCACCATCCCTGGCCTGGCCTGGCAGGAGCCGGCCCTCCCTGCAGGACTGCCTGGCCCACCCGTGGCTTCAAGACGCCTACCTGATGAAGCTGCGCCGCCAGACACTCACCTTCACCACCAACCGGCTCAAGGAGTTTCTGGGTGAGCAGCGGCGCCGTAGGGCCGAGGCCGCCACCCGTCACAAGGTGCTGCTCCGCTCCTACCCAGGCAGCCCCTAGCGGCTCGGACCACAGCCTGGCCCCGGGCCTCCACTCGGGGCTCCTGCTGATAACGCGGGACATTCCAGGGCCCACACTGAGCTGGGTGGGCCCGGGGCTTCGGACACCACCAGCAGCAACATCCGGCCGGGCTATTACCTCATGAATCTGTGGGGACAGAGGCCCCAGGCTTTGGCCAATGCCACCAGGCCAGAGCCAGAGTGGGAGACTCATTGGCCAGGCTGGGCTGAGTTAGGATCAGGAAGAGGGGCAAGAATGGAATGGGGAAGTGAGAGAAAAAGATGGGAAACTCTAGGAAGGTTCTGGGAGTGCATTTGGGGGAAAACCAACCAAGGAGGGTGTGAGTGGCTGGAGAGGTGGAAAAGGAAAGAGCCCAGGGCGTCAAGGCCATGGGCTGGGAGTGAGTGTCAATGAAGGAGGGATAGGACATAGAGACAGTGTCAAGGTGCCAAAGGCAGCAGGTAAGAGAGGGCAGTGAGGTAGGTGAGGAAGAGGAGAGAGGACTCAGGTGGGGATGGGATAGGCCAGCCGCCAGCATCCCAGAAGAAGCATGAAGGGCTGGAGGCAGAAGGCAGTGGTCACTCAAGCCAGTACTCTCTTCCTGTCCTGGTGGATACAGCTCTGGGCACTCTGTGCTGGCCCAAGGATGTCCCCACTGCCCCTCTGTGGCCTTCACCCTTCTTCCCATTCATATTTATTTATTTATTGACTTTTATGAAGTTTCCCTTCTATCCAATCCCTATTGCTCATGTTGTCCTGACCATCCCCTAGCCATCCAGCTGTCTGTGCAGCTGCTGTCTGTCACAAGGAAAATAAAAACAACAAGCAGCGGGACCTATGTGTGGTCTATGGGGAGAGATGGCTGGGGGTGCAGGGTGCTGGGACAGGAGCATTTCAGCCTTCTGTGGGCCAGTGAGAGCCCAGCTGTACCAGTTAGCACCTTTGAAACTCTCCCCTGCCTTCCTTGACCCTCCTGGCCCCTTATTTCTCCCTTATTCCTGGTGGGAGGAGAGACTTTGGTCTGCTTCTCCCTCTGAAATTTCTGGAATCCTGGCAGGAGCACTGAATCCCCACCATCACCCTCTAACCAGACTCAGGTGGCCCCCACCTCCTCTCATGTGTTCTGTCATTACACCTTGGAGGATGCTGGGCCCTGGAGTGGACTGGCCCACACCCCAATCCTAGCTCAGCCTCCTTCACTCTGCTCAGAAGACTGGCTAGCTCTGGTCCTGACCCCTGGAGGTCATCATGATGATTGGTGAGAGCAGGTGGTGTGAAGAGCTGCAGAGGAGGCCTGGGCAGGCCCATGCCCGCGCTGTCAGTGTTAGAGCACCAATCAGGGTACCAGCTGCCCAGGGCAGCTGTGAGTGCTCTGGTCAGTGGGTCTGCTGTGGTGGGGCCACAGACAATCATTTTCCTAGGCCCCAGGGATACTCAGCCTGGACCTCTGGTCCTCACTACAAGCTTGGGGGTCTGCTGGGTATGAAGACACCTCGAATCTAACTGCAGTGCCACAGAATGGTCACTGGGTCCTAGAACTGAGTTGCCGTGCTCTGAGGTGAGGTGAGGGGAAAGCCAGTCCTTCCCCCTTTAGCCCTTGAAAACTCTGTTTCTTGACAAAGTGACAGGAATAAAGCTTCCACCATAAGCAAAGAGCTGGCACTGGTATATTGCTGATCAAGGTCGAGAGCCCCTTGGCCAGAGCTCAAACAACCCTCTGCCTAGCCCAGCACAGCCTCTCTGGCTTCTCAGGACCCCAGGGAAGAGCCAGTCCCCACCATCATAAAATAACAGGATGTTAAAGCACCTGGAAGGGACCAGAGAGACACCTTGCTCACCTGTCATTTTAGTGATGAAGATATACAGTTTGCCTGTGAGGATCTCTAATCCCCTACTCACTGCAAGTGTTTTCATATAAAAATGAGGTGCCTGAACTCATATCTTGATAAATGGTAAAATTTCTCTCCCATCCCCCCTCTGATCTTGAGCTTCCTTCCCATCTCCATTGGAAATGACATGTGAACTGCTTGTTCCAAACCCAGAGGAGCAAAGGTAATTTTTGTCAGCAGAGCTGTGTCAAAATTACTCTGATCAAAAAGTGACAGTGCTCCACATCTGGGCGGGCAGTTACAGTGAATGGAAGCAGTGCTATACCTGGTGACCTGGCTTGGGCAGACTGAACTCCAGGGATGTCCCAGAGGGTCTAACCTTACCCCTTCACCCCAAGTGGTCTGATGCCCCTATGTATCAGCTTTGCCCCAAAATGAGCTTGAGCCGACCTAAAGTTGCTGAGTCAGTATTAGTGTCAATCTCCAGAGACAGTGCAGCCTGGCCTGACCCTACCATGTCACATGGAGGAGAGTGAGTGGAGATGGATGGGTGGCAGGAGGGGATGCTATTCTCCAAAATCTTAAAGTCCCCTCTAGGTTTATCTCAGTTTACCGCCAGAGGGCACAGTGAGGAAATGACTACCCTAGACTCTTCTGGCGCGAGGGAGAGTAAGGTGCTTCTGGATTGGTCCTGACAGCCACATGGCCCTCGCATAATTGGCTGGATGGGCAGTGAAGTCTGCTGCTAATCTGGCTTCATTTAGGGACACCCCCGCAAATACTGGCATCCTTAACCTATGGTGTCCCCGGGAAGGGCACACTGTCCCATTGTCCAGAGACTGACCCGAGTATAAAGTTGCTCCCGCAGGAAGCTGAATCTCCTGTCGGCTGAGGCCTCATGTGATCCTCCCGGGAGTGGGATGGATATCCTCTGTCCTGAGAGGGGTGGGGCCGTGTCCAGCTGTCCCCGCACTGACGCGAGGTGCACCCCAGAGCCGCTCAGGTTTCCCCCGTGCCCCGCCTGTCCCAGTGGCTGAGCCAGCATCCCAGGCATCCTCGGGCTAAATAAGGAGCCTGCTTGGGTCAGGGGGCGGGCGCTGGGGTCCCCGGGGGGCTTGGGGCAACCACGCCAAACAAGGCAAGAAGGGGAGCCATGTATAAAACCAGAGCCCAGGGCTGAACACCTGCCCGCGTTCCTAGTGCACCTTCCGGAAGGGCTCCGTGCAGCCTGCTATCCAGGTAGTTGACTTAGGTCCCGAAGTCGACCGCCCCTGCCCCACGGTGAGTCCCGACCAACCCTAGACACTCCCACACCAGGTATGTCCTTAATCCGAAGGGAAAAGCCTGAAAGTCTCAATCTCTAGGTCAGCCTAGACCCCCCTCCCCGCCCCGTGTTTGTTTTCCGCTCCCCAGATGTCCAAAGCAGCTCCCGCCAAAAAACCTGCGGCTGCGGCCCCGCCTCCCGGATGTACCCTGGATATTAACGACCCCCAGGTCCAGAAAGCGGCCATTCGTATCCAGGCCTCTTACAGGGGCCACAGGTGAGGTGGAGCCCCGGAGCCCTCGGAAGGAAAGGAGCTGCAATCTCATTCCTGCATCAGGGAGTGGGGGGTGGGGGGATACCGAGCACAGGGACTGGACCG